CGTTGGCAGCCCCCCCCCCCCCCCCCCGTGCTTGCTGTGGTTTCATCCACCAGTCCACGTAGAGACGTGCAGGCTGATAGAAGGAACCACAGGGCACTGCGGGGGGTACCAGGCATCCAATACACCCAGAGGCAAGTTTTTCCCTTTTAAGACATTAAAAATAGCTCTACATCTAAGTGTTTTTACAACGTTTTCTGTGCACATTGATTTTTGGTGTCAAAGCTGCTTTACAATAAACGGTGCTATCATGACTTTTGTTGAAAAGGGGGGACGGCAGCCAGGGGTAACTTTCGTTGACCTTTGTCCTTAATTGAAAAGCCCGGATCCTCCTCCCAGCTTTGTGGCAGTCCGACTGTCTGGTTTGTCACAGTTCTATCATATCTGTCATGTTTCTAGTAACATGAACTTTAATCTCCCTTTATAACCCCTATATTAAACGTTTACCTCCCTTCATTGACACGATTTGTTTTTTTGGGTATGAACAGCAGGCGGCGCCTCTGGCAGTTTTACAGTATATACAGAAATCACTTCTCTGGGTGGTGGTTCTCTGCAGGTTGTTTACTTGACCACTAGGTGTCACTCTTGAATCACTTTTTTTAAGCTATGACAATGATCAAGAAAGAAAAATAGTTTCTAATTAACCCGTGTGCTCAATACATTCATTGGAGTATTTGTTAGACAGTCTAGAAACTTGAATTTACAGACTCTGAAGGGGACCTGTAATAAGTAAAATACAAAGAGTCCCTGCCAGGTTCCTAAACAAATGCAAACACATCTTCCCTACAATAGAAGAGCCATTATGCTCAGATGGCCCGTGTCTCCTTCCTTCCTCCCGTTCCAGTACTGCAGCCTCCATAAGACTATTTGGCAATCAATACTTCAAGGATTATCTCATGGCTTTGTCTCGCACCAACCTCCAATCCTTACTACTGTCCTGAGTGTCCATTAGGGCCAGTGGTCCCCAACCCCTGGGCCGCGGACCGGTACCGGTCCGTGGATCAAATGGTACCGGGCCGCCCAAGGAACCAGGGGCGGACTGACCATGCGGTCTGTCGGGCACTGCCCGGGGCCACGAAGGGGCCCGTCACCGACCCGTGTTCCTTTTCGCCGTTTTCCAGCCTGCAATCAGCATATTTTCTTTAGGGCCCACCAGACCCTGCCGCCGCCACTTTAACACAGCACAGTCTGATAGTATGACAGTGACGGCTGGGCAGGGCCTGCCTTTAGCTGCTCTTCGATTGGCTGCTGCTCCCTCGGTTCAGCTCCTGGATTGTCTGGCGGGCTGCATGATTAGGTCATTAGATCTGTCCTGCACACACAAGGCTGGAATGGTGTGTTGATCGGTACAGGGATGGAAGGTGTATGTTTACATGGGGGAAAGATGGAGATCACCAGCACTCATTTTGTTACTAGGAGACAGTCGGCTCTGTGTTCCGTGTAAGGAGAAGGGGGGGGTGCGGCTCCTTGTACGAGGAACAATAAACAAACTTAGATAAGCCGAGCAGTAGGAGAAGAACTAAAAGGAGAGAGGGGAAAGGGCTTTGAATGTCAAGGAGAGATGAACAAACAGCAAAGAACAGTAGGGCAAAACCACAATATATAAAGGCAGAGTAAGGTAGATGACTGTATACAATGGCGACTAAAAAGATCACAAATGTCATTTCATGATAAAATATAACAAATTAAGTACAATACATCATATCATCCGTTAGCATGCAAGCCAGAAAAGCAGACTACCGTACCTGTTATATCGCCTTGCTTTGCATACATCCACGCTATTTTGAAAGCATGTTTAAATACAATTACATTAAAATTATTAATTCAAAACAATCTAAAATATAAACAATCAACGTCCCCCCCTCAGCGGGCCGCGGTAAAATTATCAAACGTTGACCGGTCCGCGGCGATAAAAAGGTTGGGGAGCACTGCATTAGGCGATAGAACTAGTGTGTGTCAGGGATGCAGGCATCAAACACTTCCGGATGTGCTGAATGGCAAAGAGCCTTAGGGATGCTGAAGTTTGAAATGAAGCAGACATGGGCAGCCGGAAAGGGATGTATATATCTGTTCTATTGCAGGGGAGTACTATTTGCATTTGTTTAGGGACCCTTAAAGAGACCCTGTCACAAGCTTAAAAATGTGCTGCTAAAAAAAAACAAGTATTTTAAATGCTAACTTGCAATATTTTTTGTTTCCATAATCTATTTTATATTTAATTGCAATGTGCCTTTTGAGCTTGCTAGAAAATGACGTCTTCAGGAAGCGTCAATTCCCTAGCACAGCCCCCTCCCTCCTTGCACGTCACATCCTTCTCCTCTTCTGAGAGCATCAAATTACTGTCTGTGCTGTGCAAACAGAAGAAAAACTGGCCGCACACTGCTGGGATAGTTTATAGAAGCTTGTACTACATCACTGGTATTCTGCCCAAGCTCCACCCCTCTGAAGCATTTTATACAATCGCTACGACTAATTCTGTGATTGGGTAAAACGCGTCAAGAGGGTGGCGCTTGGAGGGGGACACCAGTGATGTGGTACAAGCTTCAAAAAACGATCCCAGCAGAATCAGGTGTGCGGCCAGCTTTTATTCTGTTTTGTATGGGCTCATAATGGAGTGAGGGCGTGCTCCCAGCAGCATGCACCCGTCTCATTTCTTTCCTGTGCCGTGGAGGAGCGGTACTTCTTGTGTGTTCTCTTGCTGTCTGTGCTGGCCCAGCATCTCCACCCCTCCCCTCACTACATAAGCTATTATGTAGCTGCTGGGGGCGGAGCAAAGCAGAATACTAGGAGTGTCACTTCAATGACTGCTTTGAGTCTGCTGGGGCTGCTGACGCTACATCCAAGATGGCGGCATCCAGCAGCCATTTTTAAGGTTTACACGAGGGATACTTTACAGGTAAAAGTCTGACAAGTCCAGTACTGCAGACTGAAATCCATATCCCTTGGTGCAGTACGTACAGGTCCTTGCACAGCAGCGGCATCTAAGTAAATGCCAATTCCAGTATTTCCTATGTCATACCAGCCAGCCATCGGCTCATGTTATGCCGGTAGAAAACATGGAGTTTGTGAATCCCTCTAACAATGCTTGTTCTCCTTGCAGGTTATCGATGAAATATACAGTGTGCTTCGGTACGTCAATTCTACAAGATCCCCTCAGAGGGCTCACGAGGTTCTGCAGGAATTGCGGGATATCTCTTCTATGGCCATGGAATATTTTGATGAGAAGATAGTTCCCATACTTAAAAAGAAGTTGCCTGGTTCAGAAGTGTCAGGACGACTTATGGGCCCTCCTTCAGGTACCGTGTCTCTCCGAGATCATACTCTGAATAGCGGGGAGTGAGTTGGAATTTTAATAGGGCAAGAGCCATCCTGGTTTGATAGTCATCGCATATTGTCAACGGTTTGCCTCAACAGGAAACATGCTCTTACACCGTCACTACTAGTCTGACCACTGTTTTTGGATACCAGCATCTGGAAAGCTTTATGGCTGGTTAGATTAGATGACTTGACAAAGGGTGAATAGGTGAGCTTAAACCCCATCTCTGGACAGACAAAAGGGACCTTTGCAGTGAGGCTACCCCCCGCACTGCAGGGATTAAGGGCACATTTTTTGTCTAGGGGCTGCAGTAAAGCATATTTACTTATCTGATCCCTGTTTCCCAGGCGGTCAGCGCTCTCCTCCCAAACCCAACTCTTTAGCTCATCCTTTTAAATGTATTTTTTAAAATGCAAGCAGTGTTGGTACCTGCATTTGACTATGTATCAGCCTCTTGCACTCACTGTACATCTCACACATGGAGCCAATGAGGTGTGCTGCACTGAAAAGGAATATGCAGATAGTAGAATACTCTTATCAATGAACAGGAATCCTCTATACTGAGTGTTCCTTTTCATTGATAACATAGTATGGTTACTATAACTATGAATGAACAGGAGGTGATTTAGCTCACTCTCCATTCATTCATAAGTGAGGATATAGCCAACATACTATGTCCTCAATTATCTACAAACACTCAGCGATCACTGTGACAGCTGTCACAGGAGGCTGAGCGAGCGGTGCAGGGAGGAGAGCTCAGCCTCATGTGACAGCGCTGTCTCCGCCCCCACACTGCTCTGCCGGAACTTGGCAGGAGGCTGAGCGGTGTGGGGAGGAGAGACGCCGGCCGCTCACACCGCTCTCCTCCCGCAGTGCTCGGCCTGCTGTCACACTTTCTCTCCTTCCCGCTGGGACACAGCAGCGCACGGCGGGGAGGAAAGAAAGCACTTATGCGCCGATGTATCGGCAGGAAAATTGCACTTTCGCCATTTAGCCAAAAGTGCAATTTTCGGCCGATTTTATATCGGTGCATCCCTATTAAAAATAAATATTGTTTTTTGGAGACTCATTTCTGTGTGTTTTAAGTAATATTGGCAAATCTGTACGGATTAGGGTTCCCAGTTATAAGGTGGTTGGAAAACCCAACCACTGCAAGATGGCACTTTAGAACCGACAAAAGCCTTGCTTCAAGATAATCGCTTTCTAAATCAGAGGTGTCTATACAGACTGAGGTGAACACATTCTGATCTAACCACTAGTGCAAGATTTAGGTGATTTTTATTTATTTTTGTAGGTTCCAGTTATACTTAAAGTAGACATTTTACCCCTTTTCACTGAAAATCACATCTGCATGCTGATATAAATTTAATCTTGCATTCAATAGTTAAACATTTTGCATTTACTTACCAATAAGAGTTCATCCACTTCCTGGTCCACTTTGGCACAAATGATGTAATGTGCCCAAGCAATGCATCATGGAAAGGTTAAATCAGCAGAGCATTGTTGGGAAATCTCATCTGTAATCATATGAGATCTCAGGGAAAGGCATTTTCCTCCCCTGTGGTCATGTGAATGGTCACATGTGCCAGAGTTCCAGGAAGTAGAGGGAGAGCTAGTAATCTGCCCTTAGTAAAAATGGCCACTGTCAGATGAGTGGGGAAGAAAAGAGAAATAAGGTATGCCAAGAAAACAAAGCCGGCAATTATCTAGAGGTATCTGTTTGTAGATTGTCATTGATAAACATTTCCAACGGTGCCTTTTTGTTATGTTTTTTTTTTAAAGATATGGGTACATTTCCTCTTTAGGAGATTGCAACTTCATCATCTATGAAAACCTTTCTTTTCTTTTCACTTCTGCAGTTCCAGGCCCCTCAGCTACGCTGAGCACCATTCAGCTGCTCTCCAAGCAGAACCCCTCGAGACAAGAAGTGACAAAACTGGCGCAGCAGGTCAAAGCCAACGGAGCCGGCATGACAGTCCTCAGGCGGGAGGTGTCTGAGCTACGCACCAAGGTACAAGAGCAGCAGAAGCAGCTACAAGACCAGGACCAGAAACTTCTAGAACAGACCCAAATCATAGGCGAGCAGAATGTGCGAGTTGCTGAACTGGAGCACAAACTGCGTGAAGTCGTGGACAGGGCCGTGGGCAACCCTGGAACGAGCTCGCGCGAGGACTCCCCTCAAAAAAGGAAGAAAGTAGCTGAGGTTGTGGACTGTCCTAGGAAATCTAAACGCCTTCGAACCAGGAAGTGAACGCGACTGGACTGTTTAGCGGCATGGTTACTGAACTGGGCACTGGTTGGCAACTAAGGTGTAACCGATCAGCAGTGTTTGGTATAGGTTCCACTTTCCCTTCCATGCAGTTAAATGCCACTTTACGAAAGAATCACCTTGCAGGTTATGCTATAGTTTAATTGGTTATTTTGCAGCCGGTGGGAGGTAGGTTACAGCAGAAATATACCCCTGGTGGTTTCACGCAAAAAATTCCCCCCCCCCCTATTTATACACTGCAGGATCTGGAGGTGTCACAGCGCACTAATTAACACTAGGCAACATGCTTTATATGTAGTGAATGACATTCTTACCATATTTAACAAGAGGTCCTTCATTTTGCATTGCAATTTGTGTTTTTCTTTTTTTTTCAGCCTAACTCCAGCTCAAACTTTTTTTTAAGTGACACTAAACTGAAGAGTTAAATCTTAAAAATGCATTCAAGTACCCAAACTATTACACAAATAAGATACATTTTTGTTATCAGTGGGGTGTAGATCCTCAAATCATCTCTGAATTGGTGCTGACACTGTCCGCCTTTCTGGAGGGTGGCTACTCTTGTTCCCCATGGTCCCTGTGTGTGTTTGTAATGTAGTAACCGCTCCAAGCTCGCTCCTGTGATAGACTACAATCTCATGTTTAGTAAGCTAATTTGTATTGAGATTGTAGTTCATCACAGGAGTGAGCTTGGAGTGGTGACTACTTTACAACACACACAGGGACCATGGGGAACAAAAGTAGCCCCCCCTCCAGAAGGAAGGACAGTGTCAGCTCCAATTCAGAGATGATTTGAGGATGTACAGCCGAGTAATACACACAAGATATATTATTAGTTAAGGAACTTGAATGTATTTTTAGGTTGTAACTCACGAGTTTAGTGTCACTTTAATATTGTTTTGATTAATTATAGCGGACCTGTACTTTAGAAGCTGTGCTGAAAAAAAGGCAAGCAGAGAGCAATGGACTAGTAAACAGTATATTGCTTGTGGTCTCCCTGCATCTGATATTTTCCCTGTTGACTTACCATGCCTCGTTCTGCACTCTCTCTCTAGTGTGTATGTGGCCATCTTGGTTGAGGAGCAGGACTTTGCCTCCTCATGTCAGAGCTGTTCCCCTAATGACAGTTGATATGACTATTGGGTTAATGATCAAGAAGCAATGGGTAGAGGAAGTGTAGATCCACAGAATAGACGTACTGTAGTTCCTAAGGAGATCCTTGCAGTGCAGGTCCTCGGGTACAACTTCCTCTCCAGCAAGGAGCACAGTGAGCAGCACAGTAGTGACACCACCAAATCTCGCTGTATAGCCCGTGACACACTGCACACGAAGCTGTGCAGAACGAAGCAAAGTTGTCAGGCACGGAGCTTCGCGCTCCGTGTGTGAGCTTAGTGCAGGCAGATGAATGACAGCACCTTCAGCCAATCGGCTTGCGCGTAACAACCGGCTGGACTTCGCATCCTGATGCGCGGGTTTATACCCGCGAGCCAATTGGCTGAAGATTAAATTTTTCATCTCGGCACGCTTGGCTATACGAACTCTCGCAAGCTGACATGCCGGAGAGAAAATTACATGGCGCACTGCATGCAAAGGCAGCGCGCCACCGCTCCGCTCTGATTCGTTTGCAGTGTGTCACAGCCTTAAATCAGGTGTTCCTAGAAGGCAGTGGTGATGTCACACTGCAGATATACAGCTGTGAGGCTCAAGGCACAGGAGTCCCTAGACACGCTCTCTTACCTGGAGGAGTTCAAGGTAGATTTTTTGTTTTTTGTCCAGGATAATGCTTTGGCACAATGTTTCTAGATGTCCCCATAACATAGCAATTTTTTGGCTTTTTTAGGTTCATGTCCACCTTATAGAGGGGAAGGGTTAATGCATCTGTCCAGTTTAAAAGCTATTTCACCGCCTTTCCCTGACACCTGTTGATTGGACCGGAATTGAGGCAAAATACACACATTGGGAACACAGATGTCAGAGTTAGAATCTCCTGCAGGTTTTTATTGCCATCCTCGGCACTCCGGCTGTGGTGAAATTACAAATCCCATCATGTCTCTGTGAGCTGTCAGTCTTGCAATGCCTCCTGTGATTTGTAGTTTCTCAATATTTGGTGTGCCAACATTGCCTGCTTCTGTTCTAACTTTTCATTGCACAAAAAATGTTTTCATCACTGCCTGTGTCTTTGAGAACTTTCCCGTTACTTCCTGTTGTTGTGCCCGACACCTGTGAAAAAGATAATTGCGTGTAAATCAAACTGGAATATAGTAAAACAAAAGCTGATATAGGTTCCATTTCTTCCCCAGCCAAGTTTTGGGTGGAGGTGGTCTTTAAAGGGATTCTGGCACAAAGCAGTTACCTCTGTAAGAAACCTCTGCTGTAAGCTACTGGGGCGGCTCATTTTAGTAGTGCAGTCAAAGAGAAGTGGCCCAAAGGAGCACAGCGCCAGTTCTATGATTACAGTAATAGGGAATTCTTGTAAAGAGGACTGGTCCTTTGTGGCTTATCCGTTTTTATCCCCTTGCCAGAAGCATTAGTGCTGTGATTCTGTCATCCAAGTATGTGGGGAGCTAGAGGGCCCCCTCACACCTCGCCAGTACTGACCCTTGTTTTTAAAAATAAGAGGGGTATCCCCCCCACCCATCCCAATCCCCCCCTTCCCCTTCATTAGACCCTGCCTGCTGTCCACCAGTTCCAGTGACTTAACTAGTTTCCACACCACAGCTCACAAACTTGTTTCTCAGCCATTGAAGGACACAGAAAATCAGAAGCCGTCGAGTTATACTGCCTGCAGGAGGATCGGACAGTGGGAAAAAATATTGTAAGCCAGTCCAGTAAACCCCTCCTCTACCCAGCAGGCTTAATTTTGGGGGGCTAGTGTACTAGGAGCATTGACGTCTTTTCTTCAGCTCTGCTGAGAAGTTTAACCAATTTTTTTTTTCTAGCCTTTTTTACCTGCATTGATTCTTGGGTTTCTCAGATTACTTTTCTGCTGATTTTAATTAAGACCCCGGACTAGATCATTTCTTGAACTGATCTGTATATAGCAGCTATTCGGATCAGCTTTTGCTCAATCTGAATGTCGTATCGGAGACCTTGTAGCTGTATATCATCAGAAGCTCCATCGGGTGAGACAGTCTCCTACCCTGTGATCAAAAAGGTTGGGGGGGAGGTTGGCTTCAGTCATTCTTTGTGGCCAAATTCACCTAATTCCTTGTGGATACTGACTGCTGGGGCTCCAAGTGTGCTTCAGCACCTTCCTGTACAAAGTCTATCTCCGACCTTCTATGGACCTTGGAACAGACTGAGCCTCCAGTTGCTTGACCATCTCTGCATCAGATTGAGAACAAGGGGTTGCTTTGGCCCCTTATTGATGCAGTTTAGAGCATCATCTTGCGGTTTGCAGCTGTAAGAGCTCTGAAAGACCCACAGCTGCAATGACCTCTCTACTTCACCCACTATTCAAAGTATTCCTCTATGTGGACTGGAGGCACCATGGGGGGTCCTGAGCCCTAGAGCTGACCTGTTCCCTTTTGAGGTAATTTTCTAAACGGTGGTCTAGTGTTTTTTTTGTTTTTTTTATTGGCGTAGGTTTGTACATAGGACTCTGTGCAGCTTGAAAGCTATTCTGAACAATTTCAAAGTGCCATTGGGGGCCGGACTGAGAGACCTTTATTTATTTTTTTTATATATAAATTGATTGAACTTCTATGTATTACCCCAGCATGAGATCTTTAATCCTTTTCTTAGCGCAGAGAGTATACACATCTAGCTTATAGCTGGTGATGAGAGCTGCAAGCACAGCACAGATGGGGTCTATCTAGGTCTTGAGTATCAGGTTGATTATCCATGTCCGCCCCCCATGGCTGTTTTGGTAAGTTCCCCTATTTTTAGGCACCTCTGATTTCCCATTTGGATGTTGGTTCTTTGGCTGTTTTCTGGCCTGCAAGCAGTCTCCAGTTCGCTTGTTAAGCCTGTTTAGTGGGTGGTGCTGTGTTGCCCACCCCTGAGTTTGACTGCTTTCGGATGTCCCAACAGTATCTGAATCCCTGTGTCCTTCGATGGACGAGGAGTAAAAATATGATTTTTGTAAAAATCCTTTTTTGGGGGTCTTGGAGACATGTGTCCCAGTCATGTCTGCTTACATTCATGCTTTTTTTTGGTCCTGCTTAATACAAACTGAAACATGTGAGGTAGAGCAGGGGTTTTCTTGGGCTGGCCTACATTATTATTATTCTATTTTTTTTGACAGTGTCCTATCCTGTAGGCAGCAGTATGGCCATATAACCTGACAGTTACTGAATTTTGTTTTGTCAATGAATTTCAAGAAAAGGATCTTAGTGCGAGTACAAAATTCCTATTTTTAGCTAGATAAGAAGCTTCCATCTGTGATTTTTCTCATGCAAGTCATTTTCAGATGGTTGATACCTTTTCAAGGCAAACCCACTTCACATGTACATTGAAATATACTGCTTGGCCAACAAAAGTCACACACTCTTAATAGTCCATTAGACCATCTTTAGGTTTGATTATGGCATGCATTCTCTGTGGTACCGTTTTGATAAACTTATGCAATGTCCCAACATTTATTTCCGTCCAGGGTTCCATTCATTTTTCACCGTGATCTTGTAGAGATTATGGGAGAGTCAAACCAGTATGTAAAGTCTTCTCCAGCACATCCCAAAGATTCTCAATGGGGTTAAGGTCTGAACTCTGTGGTGGCCAATCCATGTGTGACAATGATGCCTCATGCTCTCTGAACCATTCTTTGACCATCTGAGCCTGATGGATCCTGGCATTGTCATCTTGAAATGTGCCATCAGGGAAGAAAAAAATCCATTGCTGGAAAAACCTGGTCATTCAGAATATTCAGGTAGACAGCTGACCTCATTTTTGGGTTGCATAACATTGCTAAACCTAGACCTGACCAACGGAAGCAACCCCAGATCATCACACTGCCCCCACAGGCTTGTACGGTACATAGGCATGGGTACTTCAACCGTCTCTCTTCTTACCCTGATGCGCCCATAACTCTGGAACACAATAAATCTGGACTGATCAGGCTACATGACCTTTTCCATTGCTCCAGAGTCAGATCTTTATGCTCCCTAAAATTCCCCCCCTGGTTAGCCTCACTGATCAGTGGTTTTCTTAAGTCTACACAGCTGTTTAATCCCAATTTCTTAG